ATACCTGCCTAAGCACAAACGTAAGAAAATATATTATTAAACTGACATGAGTCATTAAAGTAACATAATTATAAAGTCCGAAATCCGGATTTTGTCCACATCTCAAAGCTCACTCACCCTGGATTTCCAAAAACTTGTATGGAAACCCTATATGTGCGACTTAAAATGTCAAACAACAACTGTCACTGTCATGTATCCTCTCGTTGGACAGACTATACTGTTAAGGTCAAGGTGTTACTGGTTGCATAACTGGTTGCATAACCGCAACGGTGCATTGAGGAACCTGGCGAATTCGACAGAAAGTGAAAGAAAATTACAGAATTCTTTAGAAAATTCCAGAAACCATCGCCAGGGGGTATATATGGCCCGCGCTTTGACAGCTGGAGCAGTCTGAAGATAGTCTGAAGATAGTCTGAAGATAGTCTGAAGATAGTCTGAAGTTTGATAATACCGCGAAATACCGTTAGAGTAATAGTAGTTGCATAAGTTGTGTTGTAAATAGTATAAGTTGTGTGTACAGAGTGAAACAAATAAATTCGTTAAGTATTTTATCGTGAGTTTAAATAGTGGACCCACGGAATCCGTAACAATTGGTGTCGGAAGTGCGATTGAAGAGGATTTTAAGAAGAAATTAAGTGGATTGGAAGATTTTTAGACCGAATTAGAGTATTTTTATGGTTGGTACGAGACAACAAGCGAAGAAAATGGAGGAAGTAAGCAAACTATTGGGCGATTTTATGGAGAATATGAGAAGAGAGAAAGCTGAAGAACAGGACCGGCTTGAGAAAATTTTTGAAGACTTGAAAATTCAACGACAACAAGAAAAACAAGAAGAACAAGAAAGACTACGTAAAGATAAGGAAGAGGAAAAATTACAACGACAACAAGAAAAACAAGAAGAACAGGACCGGCTTGGGAAAATTCTGGAAGGCTTAGAGGCGCTTTATCAGAAAGAAAGACAAGAGGAACAGGACCGGCTCGAGAAAATTTTACAAGGTTTTGAAGTGCGTCGACAAGAAGAAAAACTTGAAGAGCAGGACCGTATCAAGAAAAGTTTTGAAAAAAATGGAAAAAAAGCAACAATCAATGTTGGAAGTACATTGCCAGGAACACAGACAGAACAAACAGAACCACTTCCAAGAAGCTGTAGAAGATCTGGAGGAGCGCCTTCAGCAGAAGATAGAAAAATTAGAGATGGACCTACAGAAGACCAAGGTACAAGTAAGGACACCTGGCGTTCATGGAACTGCGAACCTCAAGGCCCCGACCTACGATGGACAGACCACCTGGACGATGAACCACCGCCAGTTTGAAGCAGCGGCTGCTGCCAATGGATGGACTGACCAAGAGAAAGCAGCAGCACTTGTCATCGCGCTGCGTGGCCCTGCCCTGGAACTGTTGCAAACTATTCCTGCAGCCCAACAACAGGAATACCAAACTTTGATTGCTGCACTGGACAGAAGATATGGCGACCAACATCGACGTCAACTTTACCAGGCCCAGATCAAGACACGCCTGCAGAGGTCCGGAGAGAGTCTGCAGGAATTTGAAGCAGACTTACGTCGGCTGGTACACCTGGCATATCCAGAAGCACCGGAAGGATTTAGGGAGGAACTCGCTGCTCAGTGTTTTATCAGCGGACTGAGGGACAACGAACTGCAGAGGGCGCTGCAAATATCCCGATTTTCTACCAGCAGCGAAGCACTGGTCAGGGCGCTACAAATTGAAGCTGCTTTTAGCGCCATCCCTAGACCGAAGATAAGATCGGTAACGGTCGAGGAACAGCCCGGAAGTTCTCACATACGTTTGGAGGAGATGTTTAGTAAACTATGTGAGTTACTAGTGAACAAGGGTAGCAACAACACCCAGACAGAGAACCATAGAAGATCCCAGGACATAAGGTGCTATAGATGTGGCAGGAATGGCCACATTAAACAGATTGCCGCGTTCAAATGCGATCCCGTTCACCATCCAGAGAACGTAGGCACCAGGAAAACTAAAATCAGTCAATACTAAGGGGCGAGTATTGACTGGGGAGAACAGAGCCCCCAGGATTTTTTCCATTAGAAGTCTAGGAAGAACCGCTGACAGTTTGGTGATCGACGGGAAAGTCAATGGAAAGGGAATCCGAATGACAGTGGACACTGGCGCTATGGTATCGTTGGTGCGGGCTAACTCAGTGCAAGGATTGAAGCTGATGCCTCTGAGAAGAAGAGTGTGTTTACGTACAGTTACGGGGGAAATGGCCGTTGTACGGGGAGAGGCTATCGTCGAACTGAAGTTAGGAAATTTGAAGTTCCAGCATAGCGTTTTAGTGGCAGATATTGAAGATGACTTCATCTTGGGCATGGATGTGATTCGTCAACATGGATTTTCGTTCGATCACCAGAGAAATATCCTGAATATCGGAAATGAAGAGTTTATGTTATCTCCAGACGAGGGACCAGGAAGAATGGATGTAAGATCAGCGGAAACTGTGGTGATACCTGGTAATACCGAGAAGATCGTATTCGGTAAAGCGGAGAAAAACGCTGGGTGCTGTGTTGGACTGGTACAAAGGGCAACAAGTACGTTTTAGTGGCGATGGATTATTCCAGTAAATGGCCAGAAGTTTTTGCCATTCCAAACCAAGAAGCATCGACTGTAGCTGAAGTATTAGTCAATAATGTCTTCAGTAGATTTGGAATTCCTTTAGAGCTTCACACTGACCAAGGAAGGAACTTCGAGTCAAGACTGTTCCAGAAGATGTGTGATCTGCTTGGTATTCACAAGACTAGGACAACAGCTTTACATCCGCAGTCTGATGGGATGGTCGAGAGATTCAATAAGACCATTGAAGAACATCTCTCGAAAATGGTGGATGAACATCAAAGAGATTGGGATCAGCATATACCACTATTCCTAATGGCATATAGAAGTGCAGTTCACAACACCACCGGACTTTCACCATCGAAGATTTTATTTGGTCGAGAATTACGGTTGCCTTGTGACTTGGTGTTCGGATCACCAGACGACAGCACCACGAACGTAGAGGACTACGCGGATGAACTGAAGGAAAGGTTATTGGGAATTCATAAGGCCGTGAGAAGTAAGATTACGCTAGCCAGTGACCGGATGAAAGCTCGTTACGACCTCAGAGCTAATTCTACGGGATTTCAACAGGACGATATGGTATGGTTATATAACCCACAGCGCAAGAAAGGGAGGTCCCCAAAGTTAACTCCAGCATGGGAAGGTCCTTATACAGTCATCAAGAGGATAAATGATGTTGTGTACCGGGTTCAGCGCAGCCCTAGAAGTAAGATGAAAGTAGTTCATCTCGATCGATTGAAGAGATACCAGACAGGAAACCTTGATCGGGACGATCAAATTTGAGAAGGGGGCAATGTTAAGGTCAAGGTCTATTACTGGTTGCATAACCGCAAGGGTGCATTGAGGAACCTGGCGAATTCGACAGAAAGTGAAAGAAAATTACAGAATTCTTTAGAAAATTCCAGAAACCATCGCCAGGGGGTATATAAGGCCCGCGCTTTGACAGCTGGAGCAGTCTGAAGATAGTCTGAAGATAGTCTGAAGTTTGATAATACCGCGAAATACCGTTAGAGTAATAGTAGTTGCATAAGTTGTGTTGTAAATAGTATAAGTTGTGTGTACAGAGTGAAACAAATAAATTCGTTAAGTATTTTATCGTGAGTTTAAATAGTGGACCCACGGAATCCGTAACAATACTTTTCCAGCCTCTCTTAATGTAATTTAAATGTGATTTCATGAAATTCCTTCATATCACGATCGACTAGTTTCATGTTCCATCGTGATTAGTGCATCACCCAAAGGGATGAAGGTGGTGGAGGGGATATTGCTCGTTTCCTGCTCGTTAGAGGGACCGCGTATTTACGTGTTGGTCCAGCGATTGGGACATGGATTAGGGATGACGCAGTGCCGGTAGGGATGAATGAATGATAAGTTAGGGGTGAATTAATTGGAAAGTTTAATGAGAAATTGGCAACGGCTATTTGGGCACTGATTTTAGTGACGGTGGTGTTAAAAATAATTTTAGATCTTACTGAATTAATATAAGCTTATATTGTCTAACCAAGACAATATAAGCTTATATTAAACCACTAACCATAACTGGAGTCATAATTCCCTTGGAATATTATTAACGGGAATTAAGATGTCATAATTCCCCTAACTTTTTATAAATAACAACCATGAAACACAAAAGAGATTGTAAATAATAATATAAAATAAAAATGGACATTCTAATAACTCTAATAATTTATTTACATCATTAATGTCACATATTATAATAATTTTTTCATTGACATCGCTTGCTAAAATATTTTTCTTTTTTCTGTCCTAGACACTGGTATTTTTTATATTCTTTTTGGTAAATGGATTTTTGGCACTTTTAGATGGAAGTAACAATTATTGTTCTTCAGCTTTTTTTAATATTTCCTCCATTTTAATGAAAACGTAATCTAACGTGTGCGAATTCGTGCAAAAGGCGTTTTTTTGACAAAAAACTGAACTCGATTGGCAAAAACCGTCAATTTATAAACAGGTCATTTAATACAATAGTAACCTGGTAACAAACAAAGTTCCTACCAGCAGCGCTAATTTCTATTAGCGCTGCTGGTAGGAACTACTGGTAGGTATATTTCTATATACCGGAAGATTAATAAACGCAACATTTTACAAAATATACTGATTTCAGTAAGAAATCAAATTATCTATGTACTACGGGAATTATAAAATGTTAATAACCTCAGAAGAGACAAACTTTGCCCTCGGTAATTAACATCCTTAGAATTTCCTAGACACATAAAAACTATTATGTACACTATCGTACTACTGATTACTCAAAAGTCAATTTATGACCTAAGTAACTATTGTATAACATTATAAGTACCAATACCTAATTTCAGTAATTTCATATAATATAACGTAATAAATGTCGGGTTATTGTTTCCTTTTATACTGCACTAAAATTATCTTACCTGTTTTTATCAGTTCCCAGAAAATTTTCCGAGTTATTTGCAGGCTGGACACTGTTTTCTTTTCTTTCAAATTTCAGCTGCAACTTGGCCATAAACTTGAGTTTATCTTCAAACCTCTCAGGTTTATCACCACTTCTCGCCTTGCTGTTCACCTTTTCTGTGAAGGAATCGCTTAGAGATTCAATAGATTTCTTCTTAGCTATCCTGTAGCTAGACCTCATGGGCAATTTAGCGCATTTGTTGTTGTTTTTTGATGAATTATTATTGTTTTTAGATTCATTTTCTTTAAGTGAATCTAATTTTGAAACGTAGAGCTCTGTAGGTGTGCTATTTAAAAACTGAGAGTGATTGAAGCTCATAGGACTTCGAGTCATGATACTGATTCTTTGACGTACGGGTGAGCTTGTTGTCAGTATTTTTCTGAGTTTTGCTTCGATTTTTGGAACTTCTATGTCCTCCTTTATTGGCTTTTTGGGGAAAGTATTGCATAGTTTGGGCATGGTTTTGATAATATTCGTAGGTTGAGGAAGAATTTTCGTGTCCTTAGTTCTGGGTCGGTAAGGTTTGGGAAGATTTGTATCAGGGACGGCATCAGGTTTGAGTTTTCTTCGTAATGGTAAACCTGTAAATAAAAAAAGGATAGTTATAGAGATATTTTTTTATACAAAAACCAAAGCAAATTATGCCAATCTATTGCAGTATTTTTTACCTTTCTTCTTGTAAATTTACTTTAAGATTTAGCTTTGCTATTTTTAAAATCAACATAGTTTTCAATGTAAAAAAAATGTATTTTCAATACAGTTCTAGTGTTTAACATGGAAAAGGAATACTTACATAATTATGGCTTATTTTCGTGACTTTCAAAACGGTTAGAAATTGACCGTAATCGGCGAATAAGTATTTATTAATTAATACAGAATCCCATTTTTGAGCACAGTTTACAATTTTTATTTTTTGTCAATAATGATTGACTATTTCCATTTCAAATATCTTGAGAACCATTACTCGTAACGATTTTTACCAAGAGACATTTTTTGAATAAAAAATCTGTACACCCTCTAAAATTAGGAGTCATATTGACATCAAAATCGAATCTATCATGTCAAAAAAAACCATTGCTATCAAAATATCGACATTAGTTCAGAAATTATTTAGAAAAAATCGAAATAAAAATGAAACTCCCAAACCTCCTCCCAAACGAAGGTCTTTAGGACATAAATTTATACGAACTTTATGACTTATTTTTATCTGCAGAATATAGGGCTGTATACAATCCGTCCAAATATAATTCGGTATACCCTGTTTATTATTAAAATTCTTACCAAGTAATTCATGTTGTAGATCCCTTTGGTAGCATTTTGGTGAAAAGTGATCGCTACAAACTCGTGCGTATGATGACCTCTTCACCTCCGGTCTGCCACATAGTTTTGCCCATTTTGCTGCCAATGCTGGGTCTAGCGGCATCATGTGGTAGATGATTTTAGCATTTCCTCGGGTTTTCCCGTAGTAGTTTCCGCAATTTTCCACGTAGCACTGTGGCATGTTTGATAATTCATCAAAACAATAGGTAGCTTATTTTTCTTATTGTTTATGGATGTTACTGTAAGAAAAAAATATATTTTTAAATTAATTAATTTCCAAATACATTTTTTGCCTTTCAAAATTTTATTAGACAATACGACAGATGTTAAGGTTTTGGAGTTTTTGTTTTGTTTACATTTAGAAGTTTCATCTTAAGTTTTTTTTTCGAAAAATTTTTGGGTAAACATTGTGAGACTAGATTTATATCAAAGTAAGACTATATTTCTTTCACTTCTGTGGAACAGGCATATTAATAACATTACCAACAAAGCCACAAAGGCTGAAAGGCTCTCATGATCTGCAGAAGACTGGCCAGATAACTTACGGAGCAGTTGCTTGGTCTCAAAACTGAAACAACGTACAGCAAGGCAAAATAGCAGGTCTGTGCAAAATACAGAGACTGGTATGCATCTGCATCACAGAAGCCATGAGAATCTGCTCAACAGCAGCAATTGAGGCTATTCTAGACCTAACACCACTGCACATTGTCATTGGTTTCAGATATGCCAATGCGACGTTGATTAAAATGTTCATTGACGGAAAACAGAAACAGTACTGCAGGAGCTTGGAATACTCTCAAAAGAAAAAATCCACTCCTTCAACTCCCAGTGGAAGACTCCCCATACAAAGAATGCACAACTTTGAAAAACATCTCTCTGTATATAATATTGAGCAACAAAAAGAATTGGTAGAGAGAAATAAAATTTGATATAATTTTTCGTTGCATTTATTTTGCATTTGAGTGTAGGTAGGTACTCCTGATAAATTAAACAGGCAAATGAATATTAAAAGGATAATAAGAATTTTATGATAAAGATAATAAAAAAATACCTATTTTACTATTCAGTAATTGTTTTAGTGGTGTTATTCTTATTCTAAGAGAAGAAGATATACAAAGATAGATAGATAGATATACAAATTTTATGACCAATTTAATTTAAATGATAAATAAAACCCAACAATTCATTGGTTTGAATAATATGTCAAAAGAATTTTTAAACATTTCTGAGAAAACTAAAATGCATAATCAATTTTTTTTCGATTTTATTTTCAAAATTAACATGAATTATTCTGATTGAGGCCTTTTTAACTTTGAACTAAGTGTTCAAAGTTCAAAGTGATAAGTATTCAATAAAGTTTTAAGTGAAAGTTACTACTAAGGTACTTAAAATATGAGTCAAAGGTTGGTAGGTATAGGAAGTAAAAAAAAACTTAATAAATCAGTCTCAGAGAAATAAGGAAACTTCTCATGGAAATTTGGAACACTATTTTTTAACACCCTGTATATGAGGGTGGTTTTATGTTTATATATTTCACTGATATTATTATTACAAGAAAACATTTCAAGGTCACGCGTCACTAGGTTCTCAACTATAGTTTAAATTGTTCTGATTAATGAAAATTATGCTTAAATGTTATTTATATCTAATGTTTATGTTTACACAAATAATATTAGTTAATATTGTTAAAATTAATTTTCTTACCTTTTTATATCAGTAGGTAAATTGTACAATTAGTACCATCATACACTAGTCAGTACTTATTTATTAAAACTCTATCGGTACACACAAAATACACGTACAAACACCGAACAACACTTTGTCTATTCGCAAACGTACACTGGAATGTAAATAAATTCGAAGCGAAATTTTGCTAAATACTGGGGATTGTTTTTTAGGAACCGAATACCGCAAGAAAAAGGAGTCAGCACTGACGGAGTACTGGTCAATACTGAAATAATTAGGAAGATCGAGTTAAGAACTCATCCATCGCGTAGTTTCTCTACCTACCATTGCAGAGTGCAACAATAAAAGCTGTAAGGGATGCATCGAGCGACAGGGGCGTACTGAAATTTTTTACCAATTTATTTTCTAATCTATTAAAAAATAAAATAAATGCATTGTTCAGGCATCTGTAAACGTTAGCAATGTATGGCTATCACTTTTTGATTTTTCATAGAACTCATAAACAATACAAATATTATAACAATATATATTGTAATATATAACAATAAATATTATAATAATATAAAATATAATAACAATAATAATTCGCAATATAAACCTTATTAAAAATATTTCATGTGCAAAAAAATATTAATTAGGATTGATTGACGTCATCGTTCAGTATATGACATAAATCAGGATTGATTTATCGTTCATTTGTTTTTGGCGACTTCCTGTGTCACTGGAAATGACTACAACTTTTGATTTTTAAATAGCACCCTCGGTATATTTCTACTTTATTCGATAGAAAATGACACTCTGAATAGAATGACATATCATATGCCAACTTTTGAAATTTTTGCTTAAAAACAAATCGTATTTTAAATATCAATCTAGAGTACCATGGCTGTGTTAAAAACACTAATTTTTAATTAAGGAGCCTTGGAAAAGTAGTTTTGATCGTCTAATATTTTTCGTGCCTTGTACTGGCGGGTTAACAGATGCCTAAATCGTATTTTTAATAATATCTGAACTTTTTCAAATGAAACAAGGGTGGCTCATTAGCATATTTGGAAAAAGCATTTTTTTACGAATAATTTGGTACCACACACTTGCTATTTTGGTCAAATTTTCTTTATGAACCGCATGTTACAATTTCAAATAAACCATACCTACGCGAAAATGTCAAAAGTTGACATATGATATGTCATTCTATTAAGAGTGTCATTTTCTATCGAATAAAGTAGAAATATACCGATGGTGCCATTTAAAAATCAAAAGTTGTAGTCGTTTCCGGTGACACAGGAAGTCGCCAAAAACAAATGAACGATAAATCAATCCTGATTTATGTCATATACTGAACGATGACGCCAATCAATCCTAATTTATGTCATATACTAACATGCCAAATCTCGTTTTTTATCTGAAAAAATAAAAAAGTTATAGAGGTAATGTGGAATGTAGAATGTTTAGGAGGGGAGTTAATCACCGCGACCTTATAGATTTATTGTGTGTTCCCCTTTCTTGAGTTATACCGAGTTATAACTCATCATACAGTCTCAGGGCTTTAACAAAAGCTAGTATCTGAGACGGCTCCACAGAGGCCAGCTCTCCATCCTCGACATCAGACGTACCAAAGTTCATGGCACGAATGGTCGTCGTCTCGGCGCACTCAGTGATAAGGTGTTCTGGTGTTTCCCCATTTTCCCCACAAAATCTGCATTCGCCGTTGAAATTATAGGGGTAAGCCACTTTTGAGACGCACCCGGTATAATGTCTGGTATTAATAAACGTATCTGTGCAAAGAAACTAAAATTTCCTTGAATTAGTTTCATTTAGACATTTTAAATATATTTTTTATTTTTGCTGCTACTTAATGCTACTTTAAAATAACATATGATCGAAAAAAAAACGGCGTCAAAGACGGCTGGGAAATGATAATCGATGATAATTTTGGCGAGAGTAAACCCTAGATTTCATAAACTCTTCTTTTTTAAATTACGCTTACTGCCAGTTGGAATAAGAAGGATGTAATTTATTTTTATATCGAGTGAAAATGATTTTTAAATGATCTAGTTTAAAATTCGAGAAAAAGTTTTTTTTTAAATAGAAAAGTTCTATCCTTTTTTAATTTTTCCTATAGTGTTAATTTTTAACAAGTTTTATGCCAATTTTTAGTAATCATCATCGATTGTCATTCCCCGTCACACTTTGACGCCGTTTTTTTATCGATCATACGGTATTTCCGACTTTCACTGTAACATATCAAATTGGTATCTAGTTCTGTTTTAGCTGGATGTACCGCAAAATATTTTAAAAGATTATACCTAGTGCCACTAAAATTGTCTCAATTTTTTTTGTCGGTACGGACCTGCTTGCGCATTACAGTAAGCCGACCGAGCTGAGCGTTACCTCGGATCGGCACGTGATGCGTCCGCGCGATTTTCGCCCTTCGGTACTCTTGACACAATGGCGTTTATCATGGACAGATGCCGCACAATACCGCCCCCTTGCGACTTGACCCTCGCCAGGCTCATTGTCTACCACAGTGACGTCAGACCGAGTTGTTTGAGAGACGCCAACTTTTCGATAGCGGCGTAGTAGTAGAACCTCATCAGAGGATTCTTTTATATATGTTAGGAAAAGTACTGTAATGGGTACTGACACTATACAAGGTGTAAAAACATTAGTGTAATAATTTTCAGTGGGTGATTCTACAGATTAAAATAAAACAAAACAATTCTATAAACATATTGATTTAAGTAAGAACAATGTTTGGATTGCACCGTGATTTTTAATAGGATTGAAGCTAAGAAACAACGGCAACAATGCAGATTCTGTAGGGAAAATGGGGTAACACCAGAACACTTCATCACCGAGTGCGCCAAGACGACAACCATTCATGTCATAAACTTTGACTGATCTCGAAGATGGAGAACTAACCTCTGTAAAACCGTCCCA